AACAGTTTCGAGTAAGTATAGTTTAGTAATTGTTAGAGGATTTAAGTTATATTATATGCTTTTCAGATTTAGAAACCATACTGATCTGAAATTGTTAGAATAATTATAAGGTCAAACGTGTGTATGTATGCTATCAGTATACTTGAGCCTCAGTATTAATAGGTAATTGATGCATGTAATCTTTAAATACATTACGTAACTATCATACAATAAGTTCATATGTTCTACTGTGACTGTCAGGAGGCTTAAATTTTACGTTAACTCGACGATTTAACGTATATATGCTTAGTCGTTTGAAATTAAATTTTGACAAAAGTAATCATTAACATTCTGACTACCAAAAACTTTGTAATAATAGAAGTTATTCATTTTCTGTTATCACAACTAACTTCTCATTTTTCTCAATACATTTAGTTTACTAATGATTAGGACAGTTCACATCATGAATTTAACCATAGTTAACAATGACTGAAATTTAGTCAGGTCTATTTTTGGTGCATCGATAAAATCTGCTATAATTATTAATTGAAATTTACAAGAATTTTTTAAACATCCATAGAATCAAAAGTTGGCAATGTTGATTTAAGCTATTCACTGATAACAAACAACTAACATGTGTAGAATATAACAGTCTTCTGGTGATTTATGAATGAAATGATTTTTTCGGACATTTTGTTGAACTAAATCCTTTTAATAGTCTAAACAAGTGTTGATTACTAAGCATCTTTATGATAGCTTCTATGCATTTTCCTTCAACTGTTCAATTTTATTTATATTTTTTTATAATAAGAATCTGATCGAATTCCGTTGATCAGTTGATGACAGATGGAACAGGTTTGAATCTATGCTGAGATTAATTTCACTGAAGTTAGAATTTCAAGCCAATTACATAAAATACATTGTGATTTTAAGTCAATTAATTTAAAAACTTCACTGAACATTCACTCAATAGGATTCAGTCAATATTCTAAAAAATGCACATGACATAAACATGTCAATGTTATTTCAAGTTACACTAAACTATTATTATAACGCGTATTAAGAATATGACAAAAATTTTAATTTATAAAATGGTCATCATCCATTCCAAAATATAATAAACATTAAAAGATTTAATAGTTGAATTCATGAGTCGATTAAAGCAAAACTACCATGGAAAATCTGGAAGCATTAGACAGCTGTTTCGTCCTACTATGGGACTCCTCAGAAGTGTACATCCATGAACTCTCACTCTGGAAGATTATTAAAACTACTAAAAATCTGGTAGAAATAAGATTAAAAAAACCATAATGTTTCCCAATTACTGAAAACTTTCTAGGGATCGGTTGCAAAAATATATCCAATGTTTCATATGCTTTTTTATTGTTATGATAATGAAGGAACAGTGAAGTTTGAGACAATCGATGGAGGATTTGCAAATAAAATATTGAATGCATGGTTTTCACATCTGACGAAAGAACTCTATGATTTTGTATTAAACTATAATTGGTTGCTCCCATCTGTCTTTTCCTTCGTTACATTAGTAGTAGTAATGATTATATCTATAAATGCACCTTTAAAATAATTCTTTCTTTTTGCAATAAATTAATAGCTAGATATCACCAGATCAATGTCTACAGGAGATTAAATTTTGAACATTGTTCTAGATCCAGAATAATAAATGATTTATAAGTTGTAAAGCATGTGGAGCAAATATAATTCTTACTTGATTGACCAGTAACAGTAGCTGTCATATTCAAATAGACCAACTTGAATATTTTTTTAAATGAATATTTCGATTCCACTGCCTACAAAATGTTCTAATGAAAATGGACTAAATTAAATGATCTTATATTAATCTCATATTAATCAAATACAATGGGCTAGACGGTCTTTATAAGATCTTTTTAGGGATTTTTTTAGTAAAGACCTTTTTACATTCAGAACAATCAATGACAGTATAAATTCTATCGAACATATTCCTGAGATAATTGATGCATCAAACAGATCATCAGGTAATCGCTCAGGTATTAAATGTATTAATGTTATAAACAAACATGTTACTGTACACAAGCTATGAGGAATCATGTCTAAAGCAATTATTAAGATAATCACCATTTTAATCACTTGTATATTCATACATATACACGATGTTTAAGTAATTTTTCGTGAAGAGAGGTTTCTGAAAAGTTGCTTCCAACGTTGTTTACAATACTCTATTCATTAAACAATAAATAGTTTTTGTCAATAATTCATTTTTTTTCAGTTCTAATTAACAGACTTATTATGTCTGTTTAGTTATTTGTTCCATATCTCGTACGTTGATTTATTGAATGATTAGAATATTTATTTGTATTTTTGCCTATTTTTAAATGAGAAACTATTCAGTCACTTTCTTTTTATTCAACAAATTTTGATTTATTTACTATGATTGTTTTGTGGAAATTTGAAGTCGAACAGTTATATGATATTGTAAACTGAATGAAACTTAAGATAATACAATGCAGTTACTTAAAGGTAGCATGTTCGGTACGAAACCTAAATATTTTGATCTCAATTGCTAGTAGGGTAGGATATTTCCACTGCTGAAAGATCTCAAATGGTTCACCGGTTGATATTAGTCTGTGAAGTAGATTAACTACAACAAAATAATAATAAATAAAGTCAATTATACTTCTCGGTTCTTAACAATATGCGTTAAAAACATTATTATATTTGTCAAATAATTTCTGACTAACAAAAACACAATCTGAATCATGTTTATACATGATTTATTATTATTTTTTAAGGTTCCCTTTAATAATGAAAAAAACCCAGCTTCCTGTAATAAATCATCAATCTGATTCATTGTCTAATCCTATTTTAGGACTGAAACTTTCTTCACATCGTTTGATATTAGTTATCAAAATAATAAAAATGACTGACATCACAATTAACTACGAAACAATAATGTTAAAATAGTTGAATCTATTAAACAGATATAACATTCTGATCCTATTCATGTACGTCATAATTTAATAATCAATCGTTAATCTTTTTCTTGTTTGGAGCTACAGAGATAGATTAAATGTGTGACTAAGTGGTACAAATGTGTATATTTAAATATTTGGTAAAATATTAGTTTATCATAAGCAGATTGTATGATGCCTGGTAGTGGATTCCAAGACGCGTGTTTCATCCCAGTTGGGACTCGTCAGAACGACGTGATTCCATCTTAGCGTTGATGTTCACTCCGAGACTCGAACCCACTACCGTTCATTTCAAACGCCATCACATTATCTACTTAGCTACTGAGTCCAGGTAGCCATTAGCTTGCCTAATCGGGTGAAGTTTAATTCGATTTCGATTAGTTGTTTGAATCTTTCCATGGATATTTAGGGCTGCAATTGATCAATCTCTAGAAGCGAACGGTAATGGGTTCGAGTTCCGAAGTGAACTTCAATTCTGAAATGCAGGTACATCCAGCTGACAAGTCCCAAGTAGGACGAAACTCACGTCCTGGATTTTACTGCCAGCCACCATCCATCTTTGTTTATAACGTTTGTGATTTAAGACAATATGGAGAAAATCCGCACCGGATGCACATATACCAATAAAAGACTGATCAATTTCAGTCCTAAACGTAAATGGGGAGATTCAAACAACCGACAAAAAATGTATTAAAATATTAGGTAGTTTAGTGAGATATGATAGTTTTCAAGTAATAAAATAACTTAGCTGACCAGGGAGTTGTGGATCACTATTTCGTACCATTACGGAACTCCTCAGCAGTTAACTCTATTCAGTTCGTGATATAAGCATTATTCAAAATGAAAAATTTTCATAAAGTTTCCATCCTAATAATCTAATTTTAGTTTATTAATATAAAAATTAAATATGTTCCATTATTATACAATTTACAAACTAACTTAATGAAATTGATGTCTAACCAGACAAATTATAGTTGATAACTTTTTTTAGAAATTCTAGCGATTCTTGTGATGATAGCTACTATTAGCAGCTTACTCTTTGGATTTATAAAGTTTGAAAAATAAATAGATTTTAAACACTATTAAAATAGTTACTGAACACGAACCAGTAGGATATAAATGAAATGACTACATCTTATTTATAAGACTTATAACTGTAGTTAGTCTTGAATTAGAACAAATAGTGATTATATCTGTTTACTATTAAGCAGACGAATATGCCGAACATGTAAAAGTTTCTGTGTATAATCGAATTCCTTCAAACACTAGCGTGCGAATAATCTATAGATTAAAGCGTTGGTGGTTTATAGTTAAGTGACTTATTAATCTATACTTAGAATAATTTAGACGTTGGAGTCAGGTTCATGGATAATATGTCAGTTATTCGGACAAAGGTTTAAATGACGTATAACTAAATAAAACAGTAAGTTATCTGTACTAATAAGATTTTTTAAACCTATATTAATGCAACAATCTAGACAAATAACATTTCTGCTAAAAACAATGGAATGTTCTAATCATATCCTATTTTAATGATTTATAGGAATTTACAATCTAAAACTGTATAACAGCACAAGTGATTGATAAGATTAGTATCATGACTAAATTGATTGAAAAAATAACTTATTTACAAAACCTAATATCATATATTCTGAGTGGATATTTATCAGAATATATATACATGGCTTTTAAGTAATACCTTTAAAACATTTAGTCAGGATAGAATGTTTTTGTCAGACAATGAATGAATAAACAAGATTGAAAATGAAGGTCACAGTTAACCAATCATTTTTCATTTCTGTTCCTTATATCTCTTAGTAACTCACTTTCAGTTAACTTTTTTAAAAAATCAAATATCGTACCATCTTTTGTGACTTATCTGGTAAATATGATAATTATACAAGAAGTCAATATGTATTCGAATTTTACAAAAAAATTACCTGAAACTATCAAGTTCAACCTTGGTATTGATATTTATAAACAATAGTGGATTATTTATTCTAATTAATCAGTATTATAGATATTCATATATATGGTTTTTAATCATTTCAGGTTATTTAATTAATCTTAGAATATTAATATTGGATACAAATGAATTGCATAGTCTACCGTCTGAAATTGGTTCATTAACACAATTAGAAAAATTATCTGCATCAAATAATCAACTGAAAAGTCTACCTACATCAATGGAGAGATTAAAGCAAATGAAAAGTCTACATTTGGCGAATAATTTAGTAATAGCAAGGTTTTTTTAAAAATATAACATTTTATGTTGAGTGGTTCTGTATAATTAACTATTTATTTTCATACTATTTACTACTACCACTAGTATTACTGTTACTACGATTATTAAAATAAAGTAACCAGGATAAGAAATGGCTGGATCGCATTTGAAAAAAGCTTTAAATCTAGGTCATTCACTAGTTGCTATTGGAATTTTTAATATATATTTTGCTAATAACAGGAGATAATAACTACAATTACGATTAATATTTTATTTAACTTGACGAATAATGATATAAAAACACTGTAGTTATTGAACAAGTTGGTATTTATCTAGACTCAGTAACTCATTTGTTAATGCCTTGGTGTTTGAAATTAAATGTACTGAGTTCTGGTCTTATTGTGATAATAAACACTGGAATATAAGCTCATCCCACTGATGAGTCCCAAATAAGATGAAAAATCTTCTTGAATTTCACTTGCACAATCAACGTATTCTAAAAATTTAAAACTAAAACATCATGAAAATATCACGTAAAGCAAAAATTAAGATTGAATGTTTCAGGATCTTAGTTGAAACTAGACCATCATGGAAAACCTGGAAGCACTGGACGGCCGTTTCGTCCTAGTATGGGACTCCTCAGCAGTGCGCATCCACGGTCCCGCACTCCGTGAAATTCGAACCTAGGACCAGGCGTTTAACCAACTAGACCACTGAGCTGGCATCGAACGGTGGTTAAGTGAAATTTCTAAAATCACCACAAAACCTCTGCTGTTTCAGGATCTATCTAACAAAATATTAACCTTTGATTACTAATGTCTACTTTTGAGATGAATTTATGAATTTCTAATAAAATTGGTGGATTATAGAATCAATTTTCTTTGAAATGAAGCAGTTATCACTGTCATTACCAAACTATCATCTCTATAGGATGTGTATCCATGACCCTAAAAATAATGTACATACTGTAAGTACTTTAAAACTTGTATTTAAAGTCCTACCTAAAGATAAAATAATTGTCCACTATTCTTTAATTTCAATTCATTTTTTTTCAGTTTAAGTACATAATGAAAAATATCATTTAACTAGATAACCTATAACAGTTTATAATTACACTCTGGTTAACATATGAGAAAATTTAATTTAGTATTTTAATGAAAATTAAATTTATTATGTAGACATAATAAAAATTAAAAAAATTCAAATGATCAACTAATGACTCATGTATCAATTCTAGTCTACTATTAGGTGAACACCCTAGACTACTACTATTACTACTACTTATTGTAAATAATAGTTTTATTTTTCACGTCACAAAATAATTGATCATTTTAAATAATATCAGTCATTGATAGATGACTTATGTATTTAATATTAGATGGCCTGGATATTATCAGTTATCATATTAGAACAATTAATTGAACATTTATTTATATCATCAAATTTAATTCGAATTATTAAATTAATTAAATTATATAACAACAGTGATAATTTAGCTTTTACTATTAAAAATCTATACTTGTTTCATCTTTGTTTGGTGTGTAATTCTTTGGTTTCAAATAATGGTTATGGTCCATTGAAATGTCATTAAAACAGTTAATAATAATAATTTATATTCTGAAAATAATAATTACAGAATTCACGCCAGTTTACAGGCATGATCAATTTGATATAAACAGTAACGTTAGACGTGCAGAACAAACATGTGATAAAAGAAAGTTTTAAGTGTACTAGTTCAGTGAGTGTTTAGGTAGTACATGTATTACAGCGATCCAATGCATCAGCCGGGAATTTTTAATATTTCTTAAATGGACAGCCTGTTGATTTATTAACGGAGTAATTAAGGTCAATTCGTGTGCCAGATCGAATTAATGATAATTATCTACAACTAGAGCAATCAAAACGAGAACACAGAGCACGGAAAAACAAAGCAGTAATTACCAAAATATATGAATCAGGTCTACCTAAATGCGTGTGTCATGTGACACAGTGATATACTGTTTATGTTATTCAAATTAGTTAAACTTGCTAGGGACGGCGTTAACATATTGACAGCAAGTGGGTGGTTTTACTTAGGGGATTCACTAATAAAGATGGTTAAACATTTAAAGTTCCTAAAATATACTTGTGGAATGAGATACACTTGCAGGTGCTAGAACATTACTAGACTAATTAAATTTACAAGGTTATTTCCGTAAATATAAATAAACATTTACCATGTGTGACATTATTACTGATCCGGCCAAAAAATATTGATCGTTGTTAACAAAGTGATAAGCGATTGAAAGGAATCACTTAATAGGGTTTAGTAAATAAGGGAGCAATTTACAAATATTCATTCCTAGTATGAAACTTTTCATTACAGTCATCTAATCCTCAATGGTGCTGAAATTAATTTCAGTAGATAATAAATATCAGGTACATTTTCTATTAGCCATTTTCGGTAAAGGTATATTGCTTTTGCATGGTCAATTTTATCGCTACTTGCCCCCAGATGCCCTGGTACGGCCGAGGTTGGGGAGAGTCAGCTCTCCCTCTCGAAGTGCTCTCACGCGGCCACATGCATACAGCCACTGCTAGGGAAGTCCTACTCACTGTCTCCTCGCACCGAGGGCGTCGTTTACGAAATTGAGAGGACGAGAAGCGAATGTTCGGCGCTTTAACCGGGTTGGTGGACACGGACGGTCCACCCAGGACAGGGTATGGGCTTAAGAATCCTGAGGGGACAAAATGTGAATGAACCTATTGTCGGTCACTGGCTACCATAGGACTGCATCTCCTGACGTTGCTCCACTGCCTAGTGGATCAGATCTTTAGGTCGAAGGCTCCGGGTGTGGCTCCCTAAGAAAACCACCTGCTTCGGTCTGGGCAGCCCTCACACAAACCGAATGATTTATGTGGTGCATATCTATTTGGTGCGTCCTTGTACCAATATTTGTGTTTAAATAAATAAAATAAATTTTATCGCTAAACACATAATAAAATCAGACAGAAGAGGGAGTTTTAAAAAATTATACACACTTCTAATCTTCAGGGACAATTGAATATAATGTCACTTGTGTAGTTATTTCTATCTAAAATTGGCAAACAAATAATTTTGTTAATGTTTATAAGTTTCTCATAATTTCCGTTGATAAACTGTGAAATATTTTATTCCTATTTCGGGTAGTTTAACGTTGATACATCGAACTTTATTCATTCATAATGTCATATTTAGTTTCAGAAACAACGTGAACTTCTTTGAACTTGTGAATAGTATGAGTAAATAAATCACAAGGAATTCATACTTTCTTGTCGTTTACCTTGCATAATCAAGCAATGGATCATGCGTAAAAATCTCCTTAGAGTTCAAACTATCACAATATTTCTACAACATAATTCCCATCCAGTGTTTTTTTTTAAAAATTGGATAATGTGCTAAAAGCATTTTCGTAAAACTAATGTTCTATCGAAAGATCTATTATATGTCTGTATATCATTCTAAGTAAAAAAGTCGATCGTGTGCGTTAAAACTAGACTGAAAAAAATAGGTAAACAATCAGTTACCGACGCTTCACACTAATTATTAATTGAATCTATCCATACTTTAAAACTAATAATGTTAATTGGTTTTTTATTACCCACTTAAAATACGATGACACATCATTCAAATAATCAATGCTTCAGTGTGTTAAAACCGTTTTTCTAGCCTAGTGTTCCAAATCGACCAACTACACACCCGACCAGTACTACTAATCATGAGCCGACGCAGATAAGTTCTTGTTGATCGGTTATTCACAAGCTTCTCTCTATTCCCAAAAGTTAGCAACATTTATATTATAAACAGATGTGGTTTGCATACAGATATACCGGACCTACTCACACCATAAAATGAAAAATAATAATTATACATTTAAAAAAAGCCAAAAGTGGCTATGAATAGGGAAGACTGTAAGTAATAGACAAGCAACAAATCAGGAATAGTAAGTCGTGTGATAGTAGTTAATGGGTTAACAAAAAGCTTTTGATAAACAGAATACATAGACATGATAATCTAGTTACTCAGTAATTATACAATACGAATATAAATAACAACACATAAATTAGTTGTCGGAGTTACCATTCCTTCAATCTTCGTTCTGATATCATAACTTGTTTTTATCATGTATGTAATTTTAAAAAACACTGATTGATTGATGCAGTAACGAATTATAATGAGTTCAGATAATGACTGTCAATAAAACTGAACTTGGTAACCTTTACATTCGAATGATGACTGTCAGTATAAATCACAAATAAATAATATTATAACAAGTTAGAATCATTTACTATTCGCATATTATACTGTAAGGGAACTATTATTTTTGTAACAAAAAATGTAACGCAACATAGATTGGATAGGAGTTATCTTTCAAATACAAAGTAGCACATAGAATCTATCTTCGTTAGCAGTGTTCGAGGGGTAATGGACGGTAATATTATGATCATAATCTATATCGTGAAGACAGTATTCTTCGCACAAGTATTTTTAAGTTATTTCTCGCCGGGTGACTAATTACTTGAGTCCATTTTCTTTGGATTTCCAGTATTTTAAGAAAAGAATGCTGAACACACGCATTCGGAGGGCAATTCTGCTAGGGTAGAGAAATACTTGATTAGGAATACCAATGGTCATTAAGCAACCAATCACTTTTCACAGTGTAGCCTAAACTTCCGACTATTTTATTATTGCAAGCCATAAAAAACGCTTTAAACTATGTATTTTGTTAAATTAACGCCTCGTTTTTTTTTACCTAACTTAAAAAACTAATAACCACAGTTCGCTGAATTTCCTAAACCAATATTGAAATTAACGAAGTTGGAGTTCTTAGATTTAAGTAGTAATCATTTGGAAACTTTACCATCATCTATAACTGAATTAATCAATTTAGAAAGTTTATTATTATTCGACAATCGTTTGACCAGTTTACCAGAGGATATTGGTGAATTACGAAATATAAGATGTTTATGGTTGGGTGATAACAGACTGGAAAGTTTGCCACAATCAATTGTTGAACTACGTGGATTGATATGGTCACCATTATTATCGCCAAGTACAACAGTTGGTGGAAACCCTTTAAAAGATCCACCGATTAAAGTAAGTGTTTTTATTGAATTCCTATTAAATACTTCTGTATAATGGGTGAGATATGTACACTTTCCTGATGTTCACATGATAGTACAATATTTTTTTGAAGGAATATGAACTACATATTAGATGATGTAGCAGTATTCAAGGGGAAACTGCTTGAAACCGGTCAAAACACTATCATATGTTCCTAAACCTTATAGAACCCAGAATTCGTAGAACAATGTAATATATTTATGCTTTCCGTGGTCAGGGAAGATTTAGTAAACTACCTCCGACATTCAAATCTCTTCTTTATTACTTGGATATCTACTTTCTGATTATTTACACATTTCACCTTATAGTGTTGTATAATTTTCGATTACAATGGTCGTCTTCTTTAATAAGTTTTTCCTCCAAATTTCAACCTCCCTTATCACAATACTTACAACTATTTCTTTTATTTATTATTAGTTGTATAGTCTACATAACCGTTATCACCGATGGATGACATTATTAAAAAAGAACTTTTGCTCCTCTGAACAACTTCATTAAACCTTGAAACTAATCACACTTATATAGGTACATCCAGGCATTTATCCTAGTAAAAAACGATGTTTAACTTCTGAAATGAAGATGAGTATGTTGTGGAAATTTACTGTTTCATCTGTAATGAAGATAATTTTTAGGAATTTGTCAACTTTATTTCTAGTATTTCCAATATTTAAAGCTAAGGTTATTGATAATGAGATAACTGGGAGTTAGGTTAGATGAATTTATGCTCATATATATTGTGCATGTAATATAATGTTTTGAGAAATAGATTTCCACTCGAATGTATAATATCGTAAAGAAGTACTATCCAGATTTATTTGAAATACTATGACTTTAAACAATGATGTACCAACAAAAATTTATCATTATATTTCAGGTATGCAATGCAGGACTAGAAGAACTGGATAGATATTTCGGTGTGGAAATAATTAAATGAATCTACGCGTGCAAACAAAAAGAATTCTGTAACAATTATACACCATAAATGACTAGTACTTATCTAGACAAAATTCATTTCTCAGTTGAACATGATAAACAATTTATTGATATTTTCAATCATATATATATATATATATATATATATATATATATATACTACTCACTTGTCGAAATTATGCTTACTAACAAGACTATGAATATGCACTGAATAGCAATCTAGCTAAATTTCGCATATCTCACTAGACTTGTTTTTGATGACTACACCATAATAGTCAGTAGCTTTGTGTAACGACGTAAGTTTGGATTGAGTCAATAGGAACATAAGTTATTCTGTGTGGTGTTTCATCATAAGTAATCTACCATTAATTTTAGAGATGACATGACATTTGCAAACTAAGCACCCAACAAAAAACCTATTAATGTATGAACTGAGATAAGAACATTTCAAACTAATATTATATTGGATGTAAAGTATTTCCTTTAGTGAGATTGAAAGCATAGGTTTGCCTATGTTTTCTGTTTGACAAATAAGGGAAGAATGAAGATGTAACATTATTGCTTTTGACACAATTATGCAGTTCCGAATAGGGTTACGAGCTGAACAACTTTTCTTTGCAGTCTTCGAACTATTTTTGTTAGTCAAATGTACAAAAGACACTCTGAACTTGTATTATTGAGTGACACAATATTTCTCCACATAACTCTTCAAATTGTACCAAAAAAGTATTGATTTTAGATGCAAGTTTGTGGACTGTTAAAAATATTGAATTGATTGACGTTAGATATGATAATTTAATGGTAATTATGATACGTTTAAGCGACTTTAGAACTATTTTAATTAGCTATTAATATATATTTTTAAATACCTATAACTTTTGGCTATTTCCCGATAATTTACGTAAATACAATTTACAAAAAAATATTTTGTTTTGTATTCTTGTTTTCTTAAGCTTCTAAAGTTCACATGATGACAGAAGCTTAAGAAGTGAGATATAGAACTTACTCATTTGCATAATCATATAAATTAGACAAAATGATTAGTTCCAACCAGTATAAAAAATGACATCTTACAAACTCTTTTATTTTTACAAGTAGTTAAATTGGCAAAAAAATAAAATCCATAATTACACAACACCACACCCATTGTAAGTACTAAGTCCATTTAAGAGATGGGTTAGGAATTTAATTTACTACTTAGTTATGATATACAATAATTTGTACAACAACAAAACAACTACACCATACCTAACAATCCTTCCAATTGAAATGTTTATTTTTCTTAGTTCTTAATAGATTCAATTGAAATCACGAACCAATCTGAGTCAGACCACTATCGAGAACTTAGAAGCACCGGACGATGTTTCGTCCTAGTCTGGAACTCCTCGGTGGTGCACATCCACGACGCTGGACGTGAGACACAAACCTTGGACCTTTGGTCTCGAGCGAGTGCTTAACCCCTAGAACACTGAGCCGGCAGCCAACAGTGTTAATGTCAATCAATCCATGATATTGCATGACCATCTTTCATTGTCTTCGGTGAATAAATGACTCACACCCGACACGCACTGGGCACGACATATCACTAAAATCGAGGAAATTTCCTCTCAGAACTAGCCATTGGTAAGCACAAAATCGTGGATATGCACTGCTGGGGTGTCTCATACTACAATGAAATGGCCATCCAGTCCTTCCAGGTTATTAATGGTGGTCTAAATTAGATCGGTTCACGATTTTAATCAAATTCAACAATCTCCACAACCCCATAATTAAATATATTTATCAAGAAGTATTTAGCTTTGGTATGGTTTGCATGATTTTTATAATAGCAAACCAGTACATCAGGCAACAATTTTATTTTATTAATTACTTAAGAGAAATCCAAAAAAGGAGAATTTCGTCGCAATATTTCCAATTGAAATATAGTTGGCCTACAAGTTTCTCTTTTGGGATATCAAACAAGGAGTAATCTATCGACTAAAATACCAGTCAACTGTTTTATTTTCTAGACGAAAAGTATGAGATAAAAGGAAAGAGGATAATTTGTAGAAAACAAATTGATTTAATTTGAAAAATCCCTAGAACAAATACAGTATATGTAGTACACATGTACATAAGTAGGTAGGTAGTATAAGACAAATGTTCGACGTACAATAAAAAGTTTAAGAAACAAAAAAAGAAACTGGTTCTTCCCTATGTGTACACATTAAAAGAAAAAATGTTAGGGATATTTACAGTCAAGTAAACTATTAAAATATTATGTAAGGCACAAGTGAATTATTTGTGCGTTTATTTTTCCATGTACATATATATAACACTTGTTCAACCAGAACACTTTTAACTAAGCCAGTAAGGATACTATTGTAGTACTTAAAATGATGGAATGTTTAAGGTATAAACAAAGTTGTAAAATGCATGTAATCAATTATTCGGACAAAATAAGTAGGTGAAGCATTGAGGAAAGAAGGAAAACAAAGTGGGGAGAGAACACTGAAAAAAACAAGACAAATTGGCACGATAACACCCTAATAAAAGGCTTAAAATCAGAGTGGTAAACAGTCACTATGCATAAGCCTTTAAAAAACCTGGATAGCAAAACAAGTCAAGGCTGTTATTAATCGCAGTAATATTAGTCGTTATACAAACAGATTTAGTTCTAGTCGGTAAATGCACTAAGTTTATTTACAAATACTTAGCAAAAAAAGAAAATGAACCAACCAAACTAGTTTTTTAAATGTTGATCGTAGAAAAAAGCAAGGAAGGAAATACTGTTGACAAAATGCTCCTTAAGAAATTGGGAATAGACTATAACTACTACTGTTATGTGGTGAATTATGGCTAGCCGATGGTGATGGACTGCTACTACCAGATGATTGCACAAAGGATTGTTGTTGAAGTCGACAAGAAGTATCCACACTAGTACCTTTTGGTATTAACCGCATGGTTGTAGCAATATTGGTTATTTTTAGGTTAGTTGACAACTGTCCAGGGTCGAATCTCTTTGAATCCATTGGAGACGATGAAGTAAGCTCACCGGGAACAGGTAAAGACCTGCGTAGAGAAAAGAGATGAGAGGAATTATTCGAATAACCCTGATCCCCAAAAAAGACTAGATCTATATCACGTTGTGATGGGGCACTACGACTGAGATTAGATGTATTGAAACATCTAGATGACGAAATGAGACAACCCTGAAATTTGTCACTTTTTATGTAGCTTCTGTTTAAGCTTTCATTGCTATGTGAGCGCAATAAATTAACAGGTAGACTAGGTTTTCGACAATATGAAAGAAATTTTGAACAACCTGTGGGAGAAACCTGGCTTTTAAATGATTCATTCCCAACAACATTCGCATTACACTTCTGCAGCTGTTCGTATTCAAGCTTTGGTTCTTGAGATATTGGGGTGGAAGGACTAAGCTCTCTCACTCTAGATGAACTAGTTGATGGCAAGTTACTTGGTAAACGAAATGCTCCATGTGCATGCAAAATACTACGATAAACTGGATGACTTCCGTCGGTAGATACTGGCCTTGGGGTCGGTGGTGCGCTTGCATGTGAAGAAAGACGACGCTGAGCAAGCAAAGTTGGTCTTGCGGTACCAACTGTCGATGATGAACGACGAAGTCTAAGAATACTAGCTGGTGAAAGTGTAGTGGTTAATTGGATGGGATGTGGTGGCATAACAGTTGAGCATGGTTCAAATTTCAAAGTTTGTAAACTTGTATAAGATGAAAGAAAAGGTTTGAATTTAAGCATCTGTATGGCAGATTCAGGACCCGGAAGCACATGTCCAGGAACAAAAGACGATGGAGCACGAGAAACAGAAAGTAAAGATCGATACTCTTCTAAGGGTGAAGATATCTCTAGCTTAGACAAACCAGTGCAAGGAGATGGTAATAATGGATTAGAAGATTGAGTAGGTGACAATAACGCTGAAACTCTGCTACGTTTTTCTTCAGTTGGGCTTATTCCAGACTCAGGAATTGGTCTAACCGACCCCCCACAGTGTAGCGAACTTTTTCCAACAGATCCTCCTAAAACTCCTGCAAAAGATGAAGTAGCCTCCAAACCAAGGTATGTTGGTCTTTCCCGTTTCTTAGATAATACCTTCGGAGATGATGGAGTTAAATTTAGTGATAATGATGACGAATGAAGACCAGACTTTAACATAGAAGAGCTTTGCATCTCTGCGGACATGCTTAGAATTGAAGACGAACTAGCAGGGCTGTCAAAAGTCGGAGTGCTATCGATTGGAATGGAAGCTTCACTACAACCAGAATCATGAAGTTGATGCTCAAACTCCAACAACTGTCCAAGAAAATTAAAATTAGGAGCAACGCTGTTTCGTCCAGATTTAACAACACTAGAAAATCGATAGAAATGTTAACAATTAAGCAACGGGAGACAATAAATTTAACTTCATTATTATACAATTACATAAACTACTCCTAACTTGACAAGCATAATGGGGTTGTATTATACAATGAGAAAAAAAGTTAAATCTGTATACAATTTGAAATTCTTTTCTAATTCAGCAAAGGTAAAAAACAAACTGTGGCTAAATTGATAAGTTTACGCACAAAGATAAAGTAAATACTATCTATTAAAAAAATAACAAACATTTTGTAAATATTATATCTAATTTACAAAAAAAAGGTTGAAAAGTGTATATCTTTACTGAGGAAGGAAAGCAACCTGACATGTACCGAGGTTTAAAGTTAACTATCCCGCAAAAAAGAACGGTGTTTCAAAATAATGCGTTTTAACACTGAACGACCATAAAAATTTAGTTCATTGAAATATTCTTTCCTAAATTTACATTTTCACTTCATCCAAGATAACACTTTAGTGTAAGGAGCAGCAAACATTGAGTAACACAGCTAACAATTTTAACCGCTGCAGTTGTCAAATTCTATAAACTAACTTACCCTATCAATGCAAAACTACGTACAGAACTTAAACAATAATTCACCAATGATCTCATCGCACAACACGCACTGGAAATAGAAACTGTATTATTGAGAGACAGGTCCGTCTTCTAAAAGGTAATCAACATAGTTAACATCACGAACAACTTATTTTGATGGTTACCAAGGGAACGTATACGTATTTGTATCAAAATTGTGTGCATTACCAATCTATAAGAGCTGCTACGACACTCCTCTTACTGTAGAAACAATTTGAATCTTTTAATTTACTTATTATAACTATATACAGGCACATAAAATCCATCTAACAACATAAGTAGTGATTATTTTTAACTTGCCTATCAAGATCATCTGGTATTTCGATAATGAAGACAAAATTTAGACGCCCTCTACAAGATGACTTGATAAAAGCACAAATTATTAGCTTTTTATCACAAGTAAAATTTGTCAATGGCAACCTACAGCTTTACATTATTTTTCTATCAAACAATTACTGATTATTACGAGATAAAATGAGTAGAAAAGTAATTTCTACTGAATAAATGGATGGGATGAATCGATGAATGCTATAATACATTAACAAAATAACTACACATCATACTAGTAATGTCGTACAAATAGATTTAGAAGAAAGATAATACTATACTACTTCGATAACCCTAAGTTAGTCACGAAACTTTTTAAAAATAATATCATTCAGTCAGCACAAAAAAAACTAAGACATCATTTTGCATACAAAATTAAAACTCAACAAAGATGTTAGGTACGCAAGTATACAACAAACTAAAATAGAAGTAAAGCATCTAAATTAAACTTACTCGTATGCTTCATGCATTTTCATTCGACATGAATACATAAGATAGGCAATTGCTAGAGTAGGTGACCGAGATATTCCAGCTGAACAATGAATCAAAACTCGTCCATGGGCTGCTTTAGCAGACTCTGCAAATAAATCGTTTTGAAAAAATATCGTTACAGTGCATTATACTAGTATCCTTTGAAACTGATCGTTTTATAAGTAGCATATATAATTAGTTCTCGAAGTCAAAACAAACTGAAACACGCTAGAGAAGGGAATTAGGGCCGCGAAAGGACGAGAGGTTGGACGTATCATATTTGCACGCAGAGTTCCGGTTTGAATTGATGTATCGTCGACGCCTCAACCAATAATTGAGAGATTTCATTTACATAAGGTATATTGACGATACCTTCATTGTTTGTGAAGAAGATATGGACCTCAATGAGATTTTGAACCGATTCAATTATCGTTGCCGCTTAACTCAATTCACATTGGAGGCAGAGGCGAATGAGGAATTTCATGTTCTTGATATCCAGTTGAAAAAGTCGGGTGGTTCTTTACAGAGATCTGTGTATAGAAAACCGACCTGGAATGGTCAATATACGGATTTCCACAGGTGGGTCCCACTGAGTAGAAAGAGAAACCTAATTCACTCTATATCCTCAAGGATTAGGAGAATATGTTCTGATGACACAATAGATGACGAACTACTTCAACTTCGACAGACATTCATAAAAATGGTTATCCACCTAGATTCTTCGATAGGAACTTAACATCTATACAACATCCTGAGAAAGCACCAACGGTTCAAAATTAAACTCGTTTTATGATAATCGAACTTAAAGGAAATACGGCCGCTGAAATCTTAAGTAAATGGATCTCAAGATCTCTGAATAATACCTTCTACATAGCTAAGCTCCTCATTGCCTTCTCAAGGCCGCCTACTATTTACGGATGCGTTAAGGATAAGCTTCCGCTTTGTGCCACATCGATGTGCATCTATAAATTTATTTGCTTTTGTGGGGCAGGTTACATCGACAGCACAAAGCGATCACTTTCTAAATGCACCTCAGAACATCACCCGGTGTGGTTTTTAAAAGAACGCAAAACAATCACCAGTTCAATACAGTAGCATCTAATTGACTCTGGACACGTCGCTCCGAAGGAGTCTTACTTTAAAATAATCTACACAATTAATGAACTGGGTAGAGGGGAGGTCGAATCAAAAACTTATGTACTGCTCAAGCGTCGGCGATCCACCGATTCAAGTCCGAATTCCGCGTGCACATCCTTCCTTAGCCTAATTTCCTTCCGTAGTATGTTTTAGTTTTCCTTAACTAGTGTTTTATATATCGGATTCCTGGTCCAAAACGAGAAATGTGACCAGATCACCAGTCACTGGTTGTGAGCAACGCCTTACAAAGTCCTACGGTTTATAGAACCCCTAACTAGGTAGCAGTGATCCGGCAACAGATACTGACACAATACAACTACTATTTTCTCTGCGGTTACATACCATAAACTGGTTACCCTTCCATTTCCCAAACTTAGCAGCACTTAATATTGGAATCCGAATTCCAGAATATGTAAAATCAAAAGTGTTTCAAATGAATTATCTGACTAAATAAGGGTCTGTATTATTTCTCACTTTATCATCGCTTATATCGTGTTGTCATCGGGATCGAGTAGGGGTTCAGAAGAAAAGGTAAGGTTTAAAAAGCTATAGCTCTCTTAGAATATAAATTCTGTCTGCCACAATAGTATTATCTTACACATCGAAATAAATACTCAAATCCAACTACCTCTATTGACCAACCACTAAGGATGACAAGAGGTACAAACTACTGTAAAATTTATGAAAGTACTTATAACAAAGTAAACAGGAGAATGGTAAGGACGAAAGCAACATGAGATAGTAGCTTTCGAGTTTTCAGTCAGTCAGTCAGCTACAAAGTAGGACCAGGCACATCTATGCATCGAGTTTTACTCACTAGCTAAAGTATGTCTTTTAAACAGCTCTAAGCAAACTGTTGTGGTAAACGTAAGCTAAGATATTGGTATTTACTTATTAGACCAAAAAAATGTACAACCATATTAAGGAAAATCAGGAGAAATATCTTATTTTATGGATCTCAACATATATATTACATTATTACATTCGTTATGATTATTGGAAACTATAATGATGGTTAGTATCTCGGAAACTCAAAGACCAACCCACAATGGGTGGACCAATGTTTAAACATACAACTTACATCAGCTGATATCTGGATGCCTAAGTCAATAAACTAGAGCTCCACAGTTAGTAACATACCATTTACCATTCTTTTTAATAGTTACTAAGTTGTTAAATTGTACGCACAAAGAAAATAATAAGCAACATAGTTTTTTAAATTAGTTTTCATTAAGAATAAAGACATAAACAATTAAAGAATTACCAATAAATGCAAAAGCATCTTTGAAGTATGGTGTCATGAGATCAGTATAATTGTCGTTCACAGGAATTTGATAAAAATTTTGACTGGGAATATGTGAAGGAATACTGCCTTCAAGAGATACATTAAGAATATGAGTAATTCCATAACGTTTACAAATAGTTGAAGAATTAGCATCTTCCTGACTTCCTAATATTAAATGTGGCAGAATTGGAGACGGACGAGTTAATGTACTACCAGTATTATCAACTTTCATTTCTATAATCGATCTTGAACGATTATCCACAGGTACATCAGGACTAAAATTATTTGGAAATAAAGTGATAAAAAGCATTGTTTGTTTTCGTTGATAAAACTAAAACCATGGAAGTCAAAATGATTAAAACTGATGTTGAGTTTCCTGACTGATATAAATTTACTGTTAACTGAAAATAAATTTCTTCGAATGAACTAACGTATATTCTCAAAATCAAAAAAAAACTTAATACGTCTGATGCTATGGAATTTCAATGTTTTGGAATTAATGCACATAACTCAAAAGCAGCGAGTACTTTAGAGACGATTTCTGCACACAATATGGAGACAGAGTTGAAAAAAAGTATTGGTGGCGCAGGTTTTACTAAATCGATTGATAAATTCCCTGATAAAATATGAAGAGATGTAAGAAAATCGAAATACCAAAAGTATAAAAGATACAACAATATAAATTTTAAAGAAAATGGTTGAATACCGGGAGGGTAATTGAACGTATGCATAGAACGAAATATTTTGGTACATAAAGCCAGTGATTTAGATTATCTCCGGTTTATTCATACTGACAGTTTCAAGATATAATCCGGATGAAACTAGTAATTATACATTTCATTCCTTGAAGATATGGTTTTTTATTTCATTACAGTTGTTCTCAATGTGATCAAGTGGATGGAAATGGAAATCAGAAAGGATTCTATTAATAACAAACGAATTTACAACAAACTCGACTGCTCTGTCAGTACTTTAGATCTCATTGAGCCCCAGAAATATCAGATTACACCGAACCTATAACGGAGAAGAGCCATTACTATGTAGAAAAGTAATATTGACTAATTTACTCATTAAAATAAGTAACGATAACGATCAAAACCTGGAGTAGAGAGGTTTTCAACTCATTAATCGACAGACTAAAATGTTGATTCATAATTTAACTACTTAATATTGCCTAATATTTTGGTATCCTGAGTAGTATGATTATCAGATAGGTATGTATAACTGAAACGTAGTGGTTCGTATGATGCGAATACGCCACTTAATCTAATCTCTTACACCCAACCAATAATTTGGTGATCTAGTTTGATGCAATCGATTACGTGATTCCGGCCCAAACTAAAATAATAGATGAAACACTAACTGTTGTGTCATTAATAAGTCTTGAGAAGCTGAAATATTATACTCCAACTAAATTTTTCGTAAAATAAATGGTTGGGTTGACAAGAAATTGACATGGTTATCAAAAATAAGAGATTGCATGGAAAAAAAGACAAATGTTGCATAATTTCCAGTGAAAGAGAATGAAGATCTGTATTATTAAGAGCATACAAATGGCCGACATTTTGGTCTGTTTAATAAGGCCTGAAATGCTTTTATAAACAAATAAAAAGATCCACATTATTGTTTATAATGAGATCGTTAATCGAAATTAATGGTTGAACGAAATTTTCAACACAGTAAAAATTTACTGATCTAGAAACAAATGGAGGTACAAAACAGAGGTTATACCTTAATGTTCTGGAAATCCCACCTGAAAACTGTTCCTTCGATGGAATTTGGAAAGAAGATGGAGTAGACTTCGATGAAATTGAAGATATTGATGAAATAGAAGTTGGATGAGTGGACGTAGCCGATGCAGATAAAATGTCATATTCGGATGCCGAGATTTTAGAAAAGTCACTAGAAGATGAATAACCTAAGCAGGCATCTAGTATTTGTTCTAATCGGCAGTCACACTGGTGATATTCGGCAAAATCTTCACCCGCAACTTTTTCTGTATTAATCCAGCATAATTCTGGAAATGATGCTTGAAACCCCAAAAATCCTCCTATGTAATGGGATGAGAGAATACAAATTATTTTATTATTTATTTTAAGATATAGATATTGGTACAAGGAGGCACCAAATACATATGCGCCACACAAATCTCATTCGATATGTGTGAGGGCCGTGATACTCCTTGGGTGCCCAAACCGAAGCAGGTGGTTTTCTTAGGGAGCCACACCCCGAGCCTTCGACCTGAAGGTCTGATCCACAAGGCAGTGGAGCAACGTCAGGAGATACAGTCCCATGGAAGCCGGTGACTAACAATTGGTTCATACGCCATTTGTTCCCTCAGGATACTGGAGCCCATGTACACCATTGGTTTGGAATCCGATTAAAGCGCCGGACATTCGCTTTTCGTCCTCTCATTTTCGTAAACAACACCCGCGACACGAGAAGGCAGTGAGTAGGACTTCCCTGGCAGAGGCTATATACGCGTGGCCATGTGGGAGCATTTCGAGAGGGAGAGCGGACTCTCTTCACTCTTGGCCGTACCTGGGCATTTAGGTACTGTATCTGCAACAGAAAATACAGATGTTTGATTTAAAACTACTCTACCAAGAGTTATGATTGCCAGATGGAATAGATTCAGCCACACAATAATGGTGTTAATGTGGACCGAAAAAATACCGACGTAGTTTCTGACAAGAGGCGAAGAAACCAAGTACTTATCACGTTTAATATTTTCTTCATACCTTATTACTAGATATCACGACCGAAAAAGGCTATACTACGTAATGATAGTCAGTAAAAGTGTACAGATATCCCAGAAACTTATGCAATAGATACCTGAAGAAAAACAAATCTAAAAGTTGTTTTTTTACTCACCTTTGAGGAGAAAGACGACTGGAAATTTTAGAGTCAATTGCGTCAATAAAGAAAACAAGAAGCATCCAGGTATTAGGTTCAATACAGAATCGATAAACTCATCGTAGACAACAATTGGTAACTTTCTCAACTCTGTAGGGTTTTCCAAGTTTGTCAGTTTACATAAAAGTAAATCTAACGGGACCTTTATTCGAAGATGTCTGGATATACGTAAACTACCAACCTGATTTTGAGAAAACTTTCTCTGAAATGCCCTGTTACCACCTATATTTATAGCAGTATGTATGTGACTGGTATTATATACCATAAACGAACGCGAATCCAGTAAGATAACCTACACTAATAAATAAGTAATCGCGAATACCTTTTGATTGAGTCGTATAGCTTCATAAATACTGGACGCTTCTGTATATATCACCTTTCTTTCCAATGCACCTAGGGCATCCATGGAAAGAGCAGGGGGAAAGTTGTCAAAGTGCCATATCCCAAAACAAGGTGTATTTTTTCAAATGCATTACCCCCAACCCATTCAAACACCGCGGGCTAGAGTACATGGAATCACTCGGTTATAAAAAAATAGTAGGTCATTTAAGCTGCAATAATCCTCACATTCAGTATTTCTGTGAAGGTCCAGCTTTTCCATAAAATTCTTCACTGATTATCTTAACATTATTTGTTTTTGTAAGGCCTTCCAGTAGCTGACCACTCGGTTCGATAAATTGGATCACCTCAAGTTGTTTGATCTTTTCTGACGAATTCACAAGTGATAAATCATGAAAGCAGCAAAAAACAAGACGTTTAAAGATCCCAATAATTAACTAAATTCAGTGGTGCCAATCCAAGATTTTTAAGTGTTATTCAATAACGAGAATATATTTACTCAGTGGTCGCTCTTCATGGGGAAGATTTGAAAGGACCTGTCATCAAAATTGTTCTGGTTTATTTGACACGAAAAAACATTTATTAATCTCTGGTAGAATACGAAATGGCTAACTTCATATAGTATTCTGGGTGTGGTCTCACATACGTGGGTATGAGATCGGAATCATTTCTTCGTTGAATACTCTGCAAAATGACATCGGCAGGCAAAAATTACATAGCACCGTGCAGCTTTTTAATTCATAGCTTGAAGATACTCAAAGATCCCCCTCTTCCTGAACTTTGGGATGTGGAGTTGTTCCTGTGACCATGCTATTTATAAATGTCCACAATTTTTAGCGCTCTCAGTTCAGGACCGATGGTCTCACGCAAAAAGCGGTGGTATCTGTTTGTCTGTCTGAGACGAGGACATAAGGTCAGCGAATGTAAGATGACAAGGCGCTGTAACGTTGATAGTTGTGAGAAGAGACATCACTCCCTGCTGCACACCGACTCGACAAGCAACGACGTAAATGATAAGCCTAGTACTCAGAATTGTTGTGGATTTACTAAATCCCTAAGTAGGAATGATTCCCGTACGGCTGAGATTGAGAAATGCCGAAATTGTGGGTTATGCTTTGCTGGATAACGGTTCTGATGTGACATTGATAAAATCGAACTGTTTGAGGTCTCTCGGGCTGAAGGAAGACCAAGCGTGGTTGAAACTGTGTGTGGTAATAGATCAATGACGGTCACAAAGACTCCTTTTGAGGCATATTCTTTAGATCGGTCTGAACATGTTACGATTGAAGGAGCCCTGATTATGGCAGGTATACCAGGTCATAAGCCAACGAAGTCGGCAGTGAACAACCTAGTCAGTTGGCCGCATTTAAGGGATTTACCAATAGATAGCCTAGACTCTGAAGAAGTTCTACTGTTGATTGGTTGTGACGTGCCAGAAGCACATTGGGTGTTAGACCAGCGGTTGGGTAGAAGGAAGAACCCGTACGCTGTGAAAACGTTGCTGGGGTGGACGGTCTCTGGACCTGCATCATACCCAGAATATAAGAAAAGAGTTGTTAATCATACCAGTAAAGTACAGACTTTGGAGAACAAAATACGTAAGCTTTATGACGTAGAGTTTTCTGATGTTTACTCAAGTGATAAATCAGTGTCAGCAGAAGACAAGGCGGCTATAAGGATTGTGGAAGGGGGCACGCGCTTTGACAATGGTCATTTTGTGGTTCCTATACCATGGAAAAGGAATCCAAATATGAAAGTGGAGAATTATGGAGTAGCAAACAGTAGATTACAGAGTTTGAGGCGTAAGTTGTTGAAGGATGACAGTCTGCACATCAGGTATACCAAAAGTATTGAAAGTAATTTTACTAAGGGCTATGCGGAGGAGGTCCCTGAAATACAATTGCAACCTAATTATCGCCCCCGGTGGTATTTACCTCATCATGCAGTGTTATTACGAAAAAGCCAGAAGAACTTAGAGTGGTCCTTGATTGTGCAGCCAAGTTTGCAGGTGTTTCCCTAAATGATATGATCTATCAAGGACCTGACACCACTGCTGAGCTAGTGTGTATATTATTGCGTTTTTGTAAGGAAGCGGTTGCAATCTCTGCAGATGCTGAGGAAATGTTCATGCAAGTGAAGGTCCCTGAGTCTGATCGAGGAGCTTTAGGATTTCTGTGGTGGCAGAATGGAGACATGCCGAGGTAACCATCCAAATTTCAAATGACATCTCATCCATTTGGTGCCACATCACCGCCGTTTTGAGCGAACTTTGCCTTGAATAAGACGGCCCAAATATTCTCTGACGGTTATGATGGTTATGTCGTAGATGCTGTCAAGGACAATTTCCATGTTGACGACTGCTTGATATCTTTTTCCACTTGTGATCAAGCAAACGGTTTCATTAAGTGAATTATTATGTAGAGGAGGTTTTAAACTAAAAAAATGGGTCACCAACTCGGAGGAAGTAAGGACCATCTTGCCTAATGTATGTAAAGAAGAGTCTTTGATAGAAATGTCGACGACCTAAGATACTGCTCATCGAACTCTGGGCGTAGGATGGGATTTCAAACAAGATGTATTTAGGTTTTACTTTGATGCACCAGAAAGGCCTCTGACCAGTTTCTTCTCTGTTTGATCCTCTGGGTCTAATTGCTCCAGTCTGTCTTACTGCCAAACTGCTCTTGCAAAAATTATGTAAGTCACAAATAAGCTGGGACCAGCCTCTCAACGAGCCATACATGTCCGCGTGGCTAAATTGGGTAAATTTTATGCGTCAGATAGGTCATGTTACGGTAGCTCGGGGTATCAAGAAGAGAATCGACATTTGTTCAGTGATGCTTCAGAGATTGGTTATGGAGCAGTTGCGTACTCAGGGGTCAGTTATTTGAAGGAACCACCATACTGTATCTTGTTGTACAGCAAGTCTAGGGTAGCACTTATCAAACAAGTCACTGTACCGAGGCTTGAGATGGCGGCAGCGGTGTTAAGTGTGAGGCCTAGTGAATTCCTACGGAGAAGTCTGCCTAATTTTTTCTGCAAAGTAAACTTCCATACAGAACCAATATCGCACTTATATAGCCAACCGCCTCGCTGTTGTGCACCAGTATACGTAGGTTGAACAATGGAGTTATGTAAAGTCGTCACAGAATCCAGCTGATTGGACCTCGAGAGGTATACAAAACATGAATGATCTTGAATCTTGGTTCAAATGTCCCACTTAGTGCATGGCGAGTTTTGTATAACAATCACTGACGATAGTGAGTTTAGAAAAACTGCTGTGGTTAACTTGAGTAGCATGAAGTACAACATGTCACCTATTCTCTCTTATTATTCCGAGTGGTTGAAATTAGTCAGGGCCGTAGCCTGGCTTAGAAGGTTCATAGAATTCCTGGTGGTACTTCGTTCACCGAGTCGTGAAGGATCCGTTCATCTAGGATGTTTAAAGGTCAAAGAGCTTGATATCGCTAAGCGTGAAATTTTAATTATGGTTCAGAAAGAAGTGTATGGAGAATTACTTAGTGAATTTATAAACAGCAGAAAAGTAGTTAGTCACAATGATCTGAAGGGTTTATCACAGATAATGCTTGGTGGGTTACTCTGCGTTGGAGGTCGACTAAGTTACTCAGGTTTCCCAAATGCCTTTAAACATCCAATAATTTTAATCCAGTCGACACTTAGTGACGGAAACGATAGTTAGACATTATCATAAGAAACAAGGGCACACAGCAACGTCCCAAGTACTGGCCACGATTCGAAAAAGCTATTGGATAATAAAAGGAACCAGCACGGTTAGGAGAGTGATAGGAAAGTGTGTGACATGCCGACTGTTTACGATGAATACAGGACAACAATTGATGGCGCCACTTCCAGCTTGTAGAATTCAACAAGGCTGGTATAGCTTCTCAGCGGTAGGAGTTGACTACTTTGGACCCCTTTTAGTCAAAAGAGGAAGATCACTAGAAAAAAGATATGGGTGTGTATTTACTTGTTTGCAAATCCGAGCAGTACATGTTGAAATGACATATAGTGTGAATACTGATTTATTTATAATGTCCTTATTACGTTTTATTGGAAGAAGAAAGAAACCTGAAGAAATTTACAGTGACAATGGGTCAAACTTCGTGGGTGCAGTCTCTGAATTAAGGAGATCCGTGCAACAGTTGAATCAGTAGAAGATAAATAAGGAACTGTCAGCTAGGCAGATCCAGTGGCATTTTAACCCGCCCTCATCCAGCCACAGGGGTGGAGTATGGGAAAGGATGGTTAAGTCTATACGCCGACTGTTATTTTTGATAACTAGAGAGCAGACTTTAACCGATGAGACCTTAGGCACTTACTTGGTTGAAATTGAAAGGATATTGAACGACCGACCCTTAACTTCGGTTGTCCAAGATGCTAACGATAAATTAGCCTTATCGCCAAATAGTTTGTTATTATTGAGAGAATGTGACGGAATAGTCGAAGAAGGTAGTATCAGAGGTTAATACGACAAACGTTGGAAACAGGTTAATCATCTTGCTAATGTGTTCTGGAAAAGGTGGTTAAGAGAATATTTACCGTCTCTACAAAAACGTCAAAAATGGTTAGTTGAACACCGCAATTTTCAGAAAGGAGATATAATGATCGTGGCTTCGGACATATCGATCCGTGGAAAGTGGCCCTTAGGAGTAGTTGAAGATTGTGAAATAGATGACGACGGAAGAGTTAGGACAGTTGTTGTTCGTACGAATAGTGGATTAGTTAGAAGAGATATACGTAAGGTATGCCTCCTTGAAGGCTCGAATCAGTTCCTCGTAGGTAGGTCGAGAAGGCGTACTGTTGTAAGTCCTACTCGTTCCTATAATGTGATATGTTATATAATGAACCATGACCATAGGCATCAAGGTAGCTTGTGTGGTATGGAGGGATTTTGGGGGCCGGTGTAAGATCCGTTTTGAATGTTTTATGTGTGTGTGAAAATCCCTCCATGTATATGTAGTGACTCACATTTATCACGAGAACACGACTGGTTTAATAAAAACAATTATTATTATAACCAACTGTACCAGTGTTTGTTTTAATGTGCTTTTGTTTGACTGTGCTAATGACAGCTATATTGTGCTTCCACTCTTATTCTTACACTTTGATTGTGACTTCGCGAGAATCCGGTTACGTTCCGT